ATTATCTCTCTAAGTTGGTCTGCCTATTGTCAATGATTAGGGTAAGTACAAACTTATGGGTAGCAATTATTATACTTGATCATTTAACAAAAACACACCTCACACATCCACAAAAAACCCTGGGCCCCTCGCGCAGTGCTGAGAAGTGCAACTCCACTTCTGCGGACACCACATCCGCCACAACAGCGCTAACCACATAACACTCCGAGATCACCAACAACTCTCTACCCCCTTCAAACCGCTAACGGGCAACACAACACCCCTTCGTCCTCTAACAAAATCATCCAACACTGACCCCAAACCAGCAACTGCGTCTCACCGCCACCACCAACAACCCAAGCTAACTAAAACACAAAAATACTCTCAGCGTATTATCACCACACCGCACTACACTACGAAAACCCCAGAATGCGCTAAGCAACGAACTAATCACGAAACGGCCAACCGGCAACACTTTCAAAACACACCCACAAAACTCCACTCGTAACCACCTTTCACACTCACCCCCCACTTCTGCCGACCTTGCCTACATCACACTCATGATCCTAGCTCTCTGTACCCGACAACACATCCATCATCCTGCACCGAATGTCCCGTCGGTCTCTCCCTTTCAATTCAAACACACACACACACACACCTGAACCATCAACATGCCACACACAAGCTCATCGACTCACGGACACATCACACCTACGGGCCAGTCCGCACATACTTCACACGCAACCGTTCTAGCACTTCGTCACAACTCCCATCCGGTTTGCACCTTCCCCAATCACCGGAGACTCTTTCTCAGTAACTTTCTGGCATACGTCTCCTCACCTCACACCGTTACCACTACCAACTTCATACAAACACCAACTTCGATCACATCCCCACTTCAGGGGCAAAACAACCTCACCCCATACACACAACACCCTCGTGCCTCCTACAACTCACAAACTAACAAACACCCAACCCAACCACACTTGCCCTCTTCAGAGAATTCCTCCCGGCCCATTCACACCCCAGCACCCCGGCATCTCTCTACAAACGAATACAACGCGCACTGCCTCACCCACTCTCGCTACCCTCCGCCGGTTCGACTCCTCCGCTCGCACTCGTCTCCCCCGCCAGGAGCAGTAACCACCAAGAATCGGAGCTTCACACTTGTATCACCTCCCGTTCGACGTCTGCGCTGCTCTCTCTGTCTCCCGCAGACAACACCTTCTCGTTCCACGACGACACAACTCAGCCATCGCCCGGCCAGAGTCTCCTGTAGAACGCTTTCTTCTCTCAAAGCTCGGGGGGGGGGGGGGGGGGGAGGGGGGGGGGGGGGGGGGGGGGGTGGGGGGGGGGGGGGGGTGTGGGGGGGGGGGGGGGGGTGGTGTGGGGCGGGGGGGGGGGGGGGGGGGGGGGGGGGGGGGGGGGGGGTGCCAAACCCCCACACAAACATTTCACCTTCACCCGCACTCCTCTCTGCCCGTGATACCGCACTTAGGTGCCGACTCGGCCACTAGTCACCATCCACACCCTTCAACCACCGCTCACCCCTCCGCTCCCTGCCTCTCCGCTCCCACTCCTTCTCCAGCCTCCTCTCGCATCTCGGGTTTCTCTCTCGGGATCCACGATCAGCAGCGTACGAGTCCTCCATAAGCTCCCCCGTCCCTAGCCCATCTCGCGCATCCTCCCAGTTTTCCCTCTCAGTCTGTATCCGTCCTTCCCGTATCTCTCGCCCAAGCCCCTCCCACTCCGCCTCTGATCATGCTCCCGGGGGCCCCAATACCAAAACCCGACCTCCCTTACGCGCCCTCCCTTCTGAACCCGAAATCCGTGGTCTCGCGCACAGGGGGTCCACCTCTCAAATCTGCTCTCCACCGACACTGCGAAGATCTGAACTTCACCTCAGTCACTCAGCATGGCTTCCGAAAGGGGCACTCCTGCATCACTAACCTGTTGGTCGCTAGAGAGAAGTGGGCTAAATCAGTGGACGCTGGAAAACGTTTAGATGTGGTCTTCATCGACTTCAGCAAAGCTTTTGACAGAGTCCCACATCAGGAACTACTCTCTAAGCTCGGCGGAATTGGCGTGACAGGGAACCTCCTACTATGGATCAGTGACTTCTTGCAAGACCGGAACATGCAAGTCAAAGTAAACGATACCCTCTCATTCCCCGTGCCTATGTATAGTGGCGTACCACAAGGCTCCGTTCTCGGACCGGAATTGTTCAAGATATATATCAATGATCTACCAAGTATGCTACAAACGGACTGTCTGATCTATGCAGACGATCTCAAGCTATGGTCGGAAGTGTCCAGCCTCGAAGACGCCGACCAATTACAGGAAACGCTTGATCTACTACACTCTTGGTCTATCAAGTGGGGTTTCCCGGTCAACAAAGATAAATGCTCAGTCCTTTCTATAGGTGCTGCTGAACCACTGGGCATCTATCACATTGGCGGGCACCTACTCAAGATTGCCACACAGGAAAAGGACCTGGGGACAATAATCTCCTCTGATCTCAAAACGACCCTTGACACGTTAAAGAAAACTGCTGCGGCGAACAGGATGTGGGGCGCCATAAGGAGATCATTCTCTAAAATGACGCTGCAGATATTTAGACTTCTCTTCACCTCCCATATCCGTCCCATTCTTGAATTCGGACATCCGGCCATAGCCCCTTTATCTAAACATGAAAGTGACAAGATAGAAAAAATTCAGCGACGAGCCTCGAAATTTGTCCTTGGGCTACGCAACCTCCCGTACCCCACCCGCCTACAGAGGATGAACCTTTTCCCTTAGACTATCGCCGACGTCGCGGAGACCTCATCTATACCAGGCGCATCCTACGAGGAGAACTGGGAAACGAGCTAAGGCAGTTCTTTCAGCTAAGACTTGGCAGCTCGACTCGAGGTCACAGCTGGAAGCTTTTTAAACCGAGGAGGCTCAAAGCCCGCTCAGATGTCGCTCTCTCTACTCGAGTGATTAATGATTGGAACCGACTGCCGGACCCGATTGTCAATGCGCAATCAGAAGCGAGTTTCAAACGTTTGCTAGACATCTTCCTACTGAGTACTCCAGGATCCTGCAGGGCTGATATTAAATCCTGAGCCATGACAGCCAACTCGCCTGCAATCCTTGGAAGATCGGGAAGCGAAGGAGCTGACACGGGACCCCCCTTCTGCTCTCTACCACTCAATGAACTCAATGAGCAATCAGTACAGCAAACAGTACCGTCCCCAAATTGCGGTCAGCTGTTTTCGATTAATCCGACGCTCCTCATCTGATACCATTTCTTGTACATACTTACGCACAAAGCGACACATGTACATCTGTTTCATATCCAGTTATGAAAGCATCATCATTTGGCCTGCCGTACCGGAACACAAAGCCCCTCCAAGCCAATTTTTTAGTACAAAAATTAGCCACTGCTTCCCCTATGTATAAAGGAGGAAACCGACAAAATCCAGCGAATTCTCGTCCTATTTGTTTGACAGCTGTAGTGTACAGTTACGGAACGGACACTAAAACAAGCGCTCTGCCTCCATCTCTAAAAGTTAGATTTCGTCTCTTCTGCTCAGCATGGATTTCGAAGCGCTCGCTCATGCCTCACAAATCTGCTTGTGGTAAGGGAGAAATAGGTGAGATCACTAGATATTGGCAAATGATTGAATGTTGTGTTTGTTGATTTTTGACGAGGTTCCGCATAAACGGCTTCTTTTCAAACCACGGAATTTGTGTTGCTGGGAATTTTTTCTCCTTGATATCTGATTTCCTGCACAGTTTTTTGCGCAGGTAAGCGTGAATGATGTGCTTTTTGATCCTTTTCCTATGGTCAGTGGTGTCCCACAGGGTTCTGTCCTCGGCGCTGTACTCTTCAATAACTTCATCTACGACTTTCCGTCCGAGCTGCAGACGGAATGTTTGATTTATGCAGATAATTTAAAACTGGATTGAGGTATGCAGTCTAGAGGATGCAGACCGGTTCCAAGAAACACTAAACAGGCTCTAAGACTGGCCGATAAAATGGCAGTTACCTATCAACCGGGATAAATCTTCCGTCCTTACGATGGGTGCTTGTGAACCACTTGGGGTGTACCATGTTGGAAGTTTCTCGCTCAGAAATGTCGCTCAGGAAAGCGACCTTGCCTCAAAACAGAGCGAATACCTTGGAACAGGAACTGCTTGACTGGATGCATGAGAATGCACTTGAACAATACATCAATATACCGACCAGGAGCCGAATCGGGAGTGCCCCCTCCACGTTGGATGTTGCCATCACCAAACACGGTCGTTTCGCAAAGCTACAAGTAGAAGCACCTTTAGGTAGGAGTGATCACTGCGTCCTCACTTTCTGCCTAAATACATTGAAGCCTGCACGATATCTTCACCTCGTGAGAAATTTCAGCCGCATTGACCACATGAAATTGTAGGATAGAGCCCTCCAGGTCAATTGGATCCCTGACCAGGAACAGGCATCTTTGGAACAAAGGTGGTCTGTGCTTAAAACTGGTTTAGTACAACTATTGAATGAGTTTGCTCCTCTTCGTCCTGCGAGACACTTCAGAAGCCTCGGTGGTGGAGGAGGAGAATTGATAGAGCTCTAAAGAGACGAAATGAGAAGTGGCAAAAATTCAATGAGGCCAGGGGCTTTCGACGATGGCTACAGTACACAAAAAGCCGGAATACGGCTATCAAGATGCAACGGCAAGCTAAGTACTCTTATGAGCTTCGGCTAGTCCGGTATGCGAAAACAAATCCAAAGTGTTACTACGGCTATGTTCAGTCTAAAGCCTCTCTAAGAGAGGACGTTGGTTGTGTAATTATGGAAGATGGCAGCCAGGCTGTGGAAGTCAGAGATAAAGCTGAAATGCTGCTAAGAGTCTTTCAGAATCTGCATAGGAGCGACAATGGATGTGCTGCACCATCGCAGCCACACTGTGTCAGCAGTTATATAATGCAGGACATCGTGCTGACTGCGCAAGAGGTCTTTACTGTGATGACTAACTTGAATCCCTTCAAATCAGCCGGTCCTGACGATGTACATCCGGCAATAGTCAAGCCACTAGCTGACATACTTCAACATCCTGTTCTGGAGCTGTTCAACTTGTCGCTCCAGGAATGCAAGTTGCCACGAGACTGGAAGGAAGCAGCCATAGTTGCGATTCACAAGGGTGGCTCCAAATCGGAGCCCCTTAACTACAGACCCATCAGTCTAACCTGTGTTCTGCTCAAGTGTTTAGAGAAGCTTATAAGAAACCGGATTTGTGAGCATTTGGCGGAACACAGTCTACTTAGAGCAGAGCAGCATGGTTTCATTAAAAAGAAATCGTGCCTCACTAATCTACTGTGCTTCCTCGATGAGATTACTCGATGTCTTGACGACGGGATTCCGGTATAGGTCTGCTATCTTGACTTTAGCAAGGCTTTCGACTCAGTAAATCACCATTTTCTACTTGAAAAATTAGCATGGTTCGGAGTACATCCTAGACTTCTGTCTTGGGTGTCAGAATTCTTATGTGGGAGAATGTTTCGAGTTAGAATCGGTGATGTGAGTTCTAGTGTGGGCGTAGCCTACAGTGGAGTACCCCAAGGATCGGTGCTAGGTCCACTTTTGTTTCTTATGTTTATAAACGACTTGGCTCCTCTTATTGAAGACCCCTGTTATATCTTTGCGGATGACTTGAAGCTAGTCAGCAGGGGCAACCGTGCAACACTGGCCAAGGATATCATCAGTGTGCTAAACTGGTCGAAGCAATGGGACTTGCCCTTGAATGCAAGCAAGTGCCAAATTCTGACCACTAGTAGAGATGTATTTGCAGTTCAGACTTCCTTCGGGCCCTTCCCCTTACAATGCACTACCCAGGCACGCGATTTAGGAGTCATCATGACGAGTAGCTTCAAGCCTTCGATGCAATGTCGATACGCTGCCAACGAAGCGCGACGAGAATCGTTTCGCCTCAGGAGGGCTCTGTGTAATACCAAGCCAGAAGTGTTCCTGCCACTATACAAAGCAGTGGTTAGGCCACACTTAGAGTATTGTGTTCAAGCTTGGTCGCCCTATCTCCGTGGTGCTGTTCTTTGCCTGGAGAAGATTCAAAGACTAGCAACCAGGATGGTTGAAGGTCAACGGGGGAAGCCGTATGAAGATCGCCTAAAGAGCCTGGGGTTGTTTTCCCTTGAACGGCGTAGACTGAGAGGCGATCTGATAGAAAGATTTAAGATCATGAAGGGCCTCAGTGCCATCGTGCCCTCTGATTTATTTGAGCTGGCTGATTCTGAACACTTGCGTGGACATCGCTTGAAGCTGAAACAGCAGAGGGCTAGACTGAACGTCAGGGCTAAGTTCTTCTCGAATCGTGTACTGCGCAACTGGAATAAGTTGCCTTCGAAACTAATGGATTGTGAGACTGTGGTTGCCTTCAAATCAGGCCTAGACAGGTGCTGGCCGCGTATTTTTCCGGAATTAATATAATCCTATCCAGTTTATTCGCATTGATATCCGATGTTGATCCTTGTA